TACCTCCTTCTAATATCATATCTGTGGTAATACTATCTTCTCCTGCAGCTTTATTTCTCTTCATCTTTCCTGTGACTTACTTGTTTAAAAATAATTTCTACCTATACAAAAATCCTAACATTTAAATAAAAAAATAAAACAAATCTAAATAATCCTAGTATACCTTTTAAAAAACAAAAATATCACCAACCATCAACTAGCAGCTTAATAAAGTTTAAAGCCGACATAACTTCGGCATTGAGTTTCTCTCGAAAGTTCTAACCAACTATCCCCTTTCCATTAAACAACGTTGTTTTATTCGGACTAAAAAAGTACATTTTAACTTTCTGCATTGAAAATGCATTGTGGTGGAAAACATCGATCCTTCCCATCCATCATCTATCACACACAAATAATGTTGTGAGTGCGCTACCATTCAAGCGAAAAATAACTATTGTATCTATGTCCAGCATGTACAGCATGTAAATTGGCTAAAAATGTTAAACCCCCTTCTCTTTTTGTCGACAAATTCTTAATCAGGAACCTGAAAACATTTAATTAGTTAATACAATATATTTAGCTAAGGAGGGGGATTGAACGAATTAAATAATTAAATTAACAACACATTTAATTCACACAAATCGATTTAAAAGAGGAATTGGCAGTAAATTAAATATTTTGAAAATATTATGAAATAAAAAAATATACATAAAATTATAACACAGGAAAACAAAAAAAAATATAATATTTTTATACAAATTTATGTGAATCCTACGTATTTTTTGGCTTCTTCTTCGTTTTTTTTTGGGATTCGATTATATAATCATTTGCCCAGTACATGTAAGGTTATGCTCGTCTTGCTCTAGACAATGTACCGGGTGGTCCAATAAGCCGATCTCTCGGCTATATATCAGAAACTATTCATGTTATAATTTTAGGAAAAAAAATTTCTTAGTAAAAGTGGCCAAGATAAATCGCTGGAAATATCTTTCAAGTATCTGGGTTAACCGCTAGGGTTCGTAACCTGTGAAGAAAACTTTGAAAACCAGTTTTTTGAGAAATATGCCCAATTATACCAAGTGTTAAATAAGTAAACTAGAAAGAGGCCTTAATTCTTTACAAAGTTGTTCAACTACTTTTTTTTTTATTTTTTCAAATAAAGGATGGGGCAGAGTGGGGAAGTATTTGTGGATAAATACCTATAACTTTCGATTGGATTAACCGATTTTAACTAAATTAGTGTCATTAGAAAGAGTGTGAATAAATTAATTTACAACTACTATAAAATAATTACATTTAGTTTTAATTGTCATAGTTAGAGGGTGCTTTCAAATAGAAAACATTAAAATTCGTTTTTCTTCAAAATGTTTAATAGAAACACCTATTTATTGTAAACTATAATGGAACTGGATTAAATTCGTAATAAAATGGTGCAAATCGCATGTTAATAGCTTTTGTCGAACTCGAGATATGAATAAAAACGCATAAACATAAGTAAGTGTAGTATTGACTCACCCTATATTATAAATTAAATTAAAAAATAAGTCAGTAGGTACTTTCAAATATTTTTATAGCAAAAGAATCTTAATGTTGATACGTATTTTGACCATTGTTATTTTATATGATTAAAAATAGTTTTTTCGAAAGTGTTATATTATAATCCGAATTGAAGATTTGAAGATTGCACTTTCAGATTAAGAGAAACTGGTAGATTTCATCGTCCTTGTTTTAAACGATGTAGTAGAGTCGGCACATATAAGTAGTCGGCAAATCTCTATAGAATTAAACATACCCAAAACTACTCTTCTAAGTATTTTAAAACATCACAGGTTCGTTTATCATATTATAAAGTGAACATTTAGGTCAGAAACTTGGAATTCCCTTTAAACTTTAGATTCAACTGTTATTTTAATAATTCGATAAAAACGGCAACACGGCGCTTTTATCCTTTTATCCGTTTCTTAAAAATACTTATGCACGATTTATCTTGTGAAATAATTGTATATTTTTCAAGATTTTTGAGTTTTAGTTAATATAGTGGTTTCTTTTTCACCAATATTTGTTGTTCTGGTTTTTAGACTGCATCCTTATCAGGTAGTTCTCCACCAAGCTTGACATGAGAGAGATTTTGAAGCAAGGCTGGATTAGTGCAATTGGATGTTAGGTCTGCTAGACGAACAATCGCGTATCATGTCAAAGATTTTGTGAACAGACGAGGCTACATTTAATAGTGCGGGTGGTGTTAATCTGCATAATATGCATTATTGGGCTAAAGAAGATCTGCATTGGATACATGCGGTACAGGTTCAAGGTAGATGGAGTCTTAATGTTTGGTGTGGTATAGTTGATGGAAAGATCGTAGGTCCATATTTCTTTGATATAACTTTAAATGACGAAAAATATTTGGATTTTCTGGAAAATTAGTTGCCTGTTTTATTGGAATATATTTCCTTAAAAACAAGAAGAGATATGATATTACAACATGACGGGTGTCCTGCGAACTTTTCCAGACGAGTTTAAGATTATTTATATGCAAGTTATCCAAATAAATGGATTGGAAGGGGAATCTCCAGACTTAACATATCTGGACTTTTATCTGTGGGGAAGATTGAAGAACTTAGTGTGCCAAACTTAACCAACCACGCGAGTCGAGATGAAACAGCGCATTATAAACGCAATAAATAGTATATCAACAGCTGAGATTGAAGCAGCTGTTATGTCTTCGCGCGAAAGATTACATCTTTGTGTGGACAATGATGGAAAACAATTTGAACATTTAATTGCACATTAAGTTTTAATGATCGAGATGTTTGTATGATCTTCCACATATTTAATTTTAAATTATAATAAAGGGTGAGTCAATACTATACTTATTTATGTTTATGCGATTTTATTCATATCTGGAGTTCTACAAAAGCTATCAACATACGGTTTGCGCTGTTTTGTTACGACTTTAATCCAGTTCCATTATAATTTACAATAAATAGGTGTATCTATTAAACATTTTGAAGAAAAATAAATTTTAATTTTTTCTATTCGAAAGTACCCTCTACCCATGACAATTAAAACTAAATTCAATTGTTTGATAGTAGATATAAATTAAATTATCCATACTCTTTTTAATCACTCCCACTCTCCCCCAACCTTTATTTGAAAACATAAAAAAAGTAGTTAAACAACTTTGTGCGGAATTTAGGCCTCTTTCTAGTTTACTTATTTAACACTTGGTATAATTGGGCATATTTCACAAAAAACTGGTTTTCAAATTTTTATTTTCAGGTGGCCCCCTAGCGGTTAACCCAGAAACTTGAAAGTTATTTCCAGCGATTTCTCTTGACCACTTTTATTAAGGAATTTTTTCTCCTAAAGTTATAACATGAATAGTTTCTGATATATAGCCGAGAGATCGGCTTATTGGACCACCCGGTACAACCAACGATAAATTTCTACTTCTGTTTACTGCTAATTGACAGCTGGGTGATACTGAAAGATACCCTTTTCCATTTGTTTATATTCTTCATTTAACGTTAGATTAGACTTTTCTCGTTTGGGGGTAGCTTCCAAACATTGTCACATTAGGTTTATGGGTAATGCTACCTGCGGTTAGGATTAAGGATTTTAAGGACGTAAATTTTTGTAGTGCTTTTAATAGTTTTAAATACAGATCCATATTTTTGTGTTTGTTTATAGGACATTCCAAGAACATATGGATCACTGTTCCAATGGTTCCGCATTCACATATCGGTGTTTCAGTTTTACCTATTTTGTAGAGATAGCAAGGAGTTTTGCAATGTCCACTACGTAAACGGCTAATATTTATTATATTATTTCTACCCATATACCCACATTTGGCATACCATGGTTTAATGGGCAAATCACACTGCAATCTGCAATAGTTTGGATCTTTATCTTTAATTTGGGAATGCCATTCATTGTAGAATTGTGTTAAAATGTCTTTTTTTGTAACGCTAAAGATATCTGTACTAACATTTTTTATATCATACTGTACTCTTAATTCTCTCCCAGTTACAAAAAAATCTGCAATAAGATTACTGACAGTTTTTTCACAATATAACACTCGTTTATTCTACATTAAAATAATTTAAAAAAGACGAAATACCGAAATAAGTTAGAATGATACATTATGAGAATAATACTATTTATCTTATTTTTAACTTGTAATATTATATCTATAATGTATCTATAATGTTTATCTTATTTTTAACTTATAATATTATATTTCTGTATATATCTTTTATTATATATTTTTAATATAATATATTTATATTTTTTCTATAAAACTTCTTAAATAAAATTAAAATTTTTTTCCTTTGCGAGGCACTTTCCGTTTCCGATGAAGTGACTACAGTAATCATCTATTATGTTGGTGTTCCAACGTCCCTGGTATCGTTTCTCCATCACCTTGATATCCTGGTGGAATCCTTTGCCTTGTTAAAAAGTTAAGATGGTTATGCAAAAAGTGGATTTTGAGGCATATTAGATATACCAAATTTTTAAACTTATCTAACAAATTAGCTACTTAACCTCATAATTAGGGTCTTTCACATTAACTAAAAACTTGGTTACAACTTGGTTTTGAATGCAATACAAGCTTATTTTTCCTTAGTAGTCCTCTTGATTTTGAATGTGGAGTCAAACATCCTTTTACGAATATCTGGTCCAACAAAAGCACCTTCTTTGAATTTGTCTTCTGATAGATGGGAAAACTTTCCATTCAACTTCTTAAAACATTCTCTATCTTTGAGCAGGGCTTTGACAAACTGTTTCATTAAGCCTAACTGGATGTGTAGATGTGGAAGATAGCTCTTAAATATTATATTTATATGTAGTTAAACCACAACTGATTATAAAATTTACATTTTATGTTTTTTTTTGCACTCCGGAAATCGTTTTCAAAAAAGAATATTTTAAAAAATAAGAAGGTGTTTTAACCTGTACATATTTATTAATTGCAATTAATTTTTATTGTATTATATATATTTATATTTTTTATATTCTAGTATTAGCTGCTACCGACCTCGCCCTCTCAATAATTTTCTTCTTAGGAGGTCTAGCTAGGGGTGCTTTTTACGGTACCAAATTATCAACCCTTGATGGATTAGTAGGTTTACCACTTGCTGGTGCCTTTAATTCTATGGCAGTGATGGCTACAGTCGGTGTGACAATAGGTAAATTTTTTCTGATAAATAAAATCATGGACGAAAATGTCGAATATTTTGGAATTTTCTAATTTTTTTTGTAGGCACCACATTTCAAAAGAATTTTAGATTACTGATGACACTCATATAGTAGGCTGATGTACTCAACTGGTTTGAAATATTTTAACCTTTATTTTGACGTTTATTCAGCGTTTAGTGTCATTCGTACATTTTATCATAAAAAACATTCTTCAAGTAAAGGCAAAATCTTACTAATTCGGTTATTGTTAGTCTAATTTATTGAGTTTAATTAAATATTGTTTTGATCTAAGTTTAAAGTAACTATGTCACCAATTCGATACTGCGATGAAGCCCAAGTAGTACAGATGGTAATTTTGTACGAGGAAGGATAGTCACAAAAACAATGACGTATAAAAGATATCGCATTGCATGACGTTTCAGGAAAGTCAATCTAGTTTTGAATACTTTAAAAAGGTACTGCGCGAAACAGGAAATTTCTTACGAAGGCCTGCTCAAGGACAAGTTGCACGGCGTTTTTTGGTTCTTATTTTTACACTAAATCGTTCACTGACATCAATGCACCCCAGAAATGAACTATTAAAAGTTAGTCAAGTTAAGGTAAGTTCAGAAGCAGTTAGACGAAGATTAAAAGAAGCAAACTTAAAGCTCAGATGCCCCGCCAAAGTTCCACGTCTCCTCCAAAATCATAAAGCTCGTCGTTTAGAATTTGCAAGAACACATATTCAGTGGAATATCGATAACTGGAAAAATGTTCTTTTCACTGATGATACCAGAATTCTATTATGAAAGCTAGATGGTCAAAACCACATCTAGCAAGAGTTGGAGAACAATTCGCCAGCTGCAATCTCGCACATAACGTTAGTTTTGGAGGTGGTAACATAATTCTTTGGAAAGATATTAGTTGGCAGGTACGTACCGCACTTGTGGAAGTGATTGGATAGATGACTGGTGACTCTTACGTTTAAAACATCCTGCAAGATCATGTTTTGCGATATGTTGGTAACATTGGATATGAAAAATTCATGTTAATGCACGATAATGCCCAACCACATGCCGTAGTTAGTAATTATCTGGATGAGATTCAAATTTAGAGATTGGATTGGCCACTGTTTAGCCCTGATTTAAATCCAATAGAGCACATGTGGGATCACCTAAAAAGCCATATACGACAAAGAAATCCAATTCCAAATACGATAGAGTAGCATTGGCTTGCTGCAAAGGATAAATGGAATGCAATTTCCCAAATATATGTCCAAAATTTACTTGCAAGCATACCGAGAAGGATACAAGCAATAATAAGAGCTAGAGGGGAGAAAACTCGTTACTGATCATGCACTTCTTTTAGTTAAAAAGACTTGTTTAAGCAATTTAAATTAGCATTTAAGTTTAAAGTAAAATAACTTTACCCAATATTAGGCATTTATTTTTTTCGCAATTTTCTCCGCATAAAAACTTAAAATTGTTCATTAAACATTCTTAAAATAAACTCTATGTCTCAATAAATGACTTAATTGGCCAGCATTTATTTTGAAAAAATAAGAATTAAAAAATTCAAAAATATTCGATATTTTTGTGCATGAGTGTATTATACGCATTCAAAACAAACTAAATGGATTAAACAACATTATGCGTTATGACGCATAAATATTATTCCTATTCAATTTTTTAAGACAATACGTTAAGTCACCATACTGAGAAATAATATGAACTATTATTTTTATACAACAATTTTTTTAAATAATTTTATGATAACATTTTGATCCATCGGCTATTATAAAGGGTGCAGGTTGGTTAAAGGAAAATTATTTGGATATTCCCATCACTTGATTTAAGTTCTTGTTCATTTGGTTGGCTTGGAGCATTACGAGCCCTAACAACTATATGTTGGAATACGCACTTATTTTGCGAATAAAATACCAGTTTACCAAAATTCTTTTATTTTATTTTTTTAAACGGTAAATATGAAATTAACAATATGTTTTGTAATGTATGGAATTATTTTCACAGTTTAATTAATTAATATTTAATTAATTGTTTGATAGCCAAAAAATGTTGACAACTAAATATTGGAACACGAGATTTTTAACTCATTAAAATAAATATTAATAATGCGTAACGTCCCAATTAGCTTAAATAACAGCCTGAACTATATTAAGAATTGTATCAACTAGTCCTTCACAGAAGTCAGGGGTGGAACCATCCTATATTTCTTGTAATTTAGCACGTAGTTGTGGCAAAGTACTCCGTTAGTTATTTATTAGGCGTTATTTCATCGTGTGCCAAAGTGTCTCTATTGGATTAAGATCCAAGCTGCTAGAAGGATGTGACCTGGTAAATACATTACTAGACATACCCAAAAATATAAAAAAATACAAAGGTACTGTTACTACACTGATATACAACACTGCACTGACTACTGTACATAAAAAAACAGCATAATAAGGAAATTTTGAGCTTTTGCATTTTTTCAGTAATTTTCACTAGCAGAAATATTAAAAGTAAAATAAATAGCTTACGGTGAATTTTGGGTTTGATTAGCGATACCAGCAAGATAATGCTACATATAATCAATGAGAGACTGAAAACATTCCTTCAAAGAGAAATTCCACAAGAGCAAACTGGATTTACCAAAGGTAGAGGCACTCGAGAACACCTGCTGAATATCAGAGAGATAATTGAGAAATCTAGGGAATTCAACATCCCACTATACATATGTTTTATAGATTACCGTAAAGCGTTCGACAGGGTCAAGTGGAGACACTTATGGCGAATACTAAAAGAAGTAGGCGTACCACAACATCTAATTACGCTTATAACCGAACTCTATGAACACACTACTGGATCAGTTAAAGTACTTGACACACTTTCGAACAAATTTCATCCAGAACGGGGTGTCAGACAAGGATGTATAGTATCTCCACAATTATTCAACATATATGGGGAGTATATTATGCGAAGAGCACTTGAAGGATGGGAAAAGGGCATGTCAATAAATGGTCATAAACTAAACAACCTACGTTTCGCAGATGACACAGCCCTTCTTGCAAATAGTCAAGCAGAGCTGATAGAACTTATACGACTGATCGAAAACGAAAGTCAAATATTTGGTCTGCAATTAAACATATCAAAGACAAAGATCAAGATTGTGGATAGACAATCCGCACATCATACAACAATAACAATCATACAACAACATACAACAACATACAATCATACAACATACAACAATCATCCACACATAACCACAATTGACCGGTTCGAGGTTGTGAGCTCATACTTATATCTGGGATCATTAATCACAAACACAGGGTCATTACAAGAAGAGGTTAAACGTAGATGTGATCTAGCAAAAGTTGCCACAGCAAAAATGACCAAAATATGAAAGGAATGTTAAATTTCAAGAGCGATAAAGATGAGGTTGATCAACTGCTTAATATTCCCAATACTGACCTACGGATATGAATCTTGGACTCTGAGACAATCGGAGAGAAAAAAGATAGACGCCACTGAAATGTTCTGTTGGAGACGAATGTTACGAATTCCTTGGACCGACTGTAGAACAAATAATTCAATTTTAAGAGAGCTAAAAGTTAGCCAACGACTCTCTAGTAAAGTCCATCTCCAACAATTAAAATTTTTTGGGCATGTTATGAGAGCAAACACAGAAACATGGAAAGACTCATAATACAAGGAAAGGTAGAAGACCGAAGATCACGAGGAAGATCCCCAACAAGATGGATAGATCAAATTACAGGAATATGCCAAAGACCTATGCATGAATTAAAAGAAATGACCAGAGACAGAAATCTCTAGAGACGAACAATACACGACATCACGTCGACCACTACACTCCCCCTGGGGGGGTCAGGATTGAAGAGAGAGAGAGAGAGAGCTATACCCACTGGACCAAAGTAGGAATCCATGGAATTTATGAACACTATACAAGGAAACCATAACGGATTTCTCAAAATTAAAACACAAAATATTGCCAAAGACACACTTCCATCGGCAAAGGTGTACTCAAATAACCAAACATCACTCTTATTGGCGTAATGTCGCCGGTATGGCTTGATTCTTGTATTCGAGCTACTTCCTCAAGATCCAAATGCCAGGCACAGACTGACTGATTCCCATCCCGCACGAATAGCTTGATCGGCACGCTGTATACTTCGATATGTAAACTATCTTTATTGAATATTTTCTACATTCTTTTAGAATTCATGCGGGACTGACGAAGAATAGCGAAATAAGAGAAAGATGTAATAGAAGTACATAAATATAGTATATAAATAGTAGTAGAAAGAGTGGCTATCTCGGTAGATGCATCTAGCAACATAAACAAACAATTAGATTATGTATTTTTTTTGCTCCAATAGACATTAAAGTGTTTTTCTTTCGAATATTTGTAAGACGAAAATTTAAACCTTGTACAGAGTGGAAGAAAAAATGCTTCTTCTTCTTAGAGTGTCGTCTCCCTACGGTTGAGGTTGGCAATCATAATGGCTAGCTATTTTTATTTTTGAACTTGCTGCTCTAAACAAATCAATCGATCTGCATTGATACCAATCACGTAGATTTTCAATCATAAGTTCTGCTTTTGGCCAATAGATCATCTTCCTTGAATCTCTCCCTGTATTATGAGTCACAAAATTTCATATTTTGGTCCCCTCATCACGTGGCCTAGGTAACCCAGTTTTCTGGTATGTATAGTGGTGATTTATTCTGTTAAAATGATACAGTATATATTTTTAATCTTGTTTTTTTATATTTCAGATAGATGTGTATACCTTTGGAATCCAGTTCATTGTACTAAACCAAAGTTCTGCAATCCAAAACTAGCAAGAATATTTATGTCAGTAAGTGCAGTTTTATCAGTGATTCTAAATGTACCTTATTGTTTCATCTTTATTATAAACTCAGATGGAACTCTGAGCCCTTCGAAATTCGTTCGTTCCAGGTAGGATATTTTTAATATACACTATTTAAATCTATAAGGTAGGAAATAATCATAGTCTCTAAAACTGTTAATTGACACCTCATATCGATCTAACTTCACTTGACTGTCCAGTAATGAGCAAACTAAATTTCTTACATCATGCATTTCGGAAAAGTACTCAACATATTCGTCGTATCTTAAGACAAAAAATTGTTGTTGCTAACCATATTTCTAAATATAATCCAGGAATTCGACAAGGTATGGCATACTTATTTCTATACACAATTAAGTTTTGTCGTCTCCTTCATCGTGACCTCTTCACCGGTTTCTTTCACTACTTTTATTCGTTTCTCAATTACTCTCTTTTTTTTATTTCACTTTTAATTACAACCTTCGTGTTTGTATGGTCGGACATTAGTTTCAATAAATTATTTGTAACGCTGGTTATAGTAGGTGGTGTACAAATAAATAATTTATAATGCGATGAAACATCGCATTCATAACTTGCTCCAATTTGCTCCATAGTCTCTTTGTTTTGTTTTGATTTTTTTTTACCTGATTAAGTACTTGTCCATATAGTTCCCACAAGTAGGGACGAAATTATATTGTCCGGTGAGGCAGTGCGCTCTTACCCACGCTAAGGCTTGAAATACAGCGGATATTCGCCAGTTCTCCGAGGGCTCCGTTTGCGGCCGTCTGTCGCTAGACCATTCACCACTTAGGCACGGATCGCCTGACTCCGTGTGGTTGCGGATTTTTATCAAAGTTTACTCCTCTGAGCAGAAGTGTCGTTTTATGACACTAATACACGGCAACGCCGCCTCCGTTGTCGGACTCAATAACACTGGCTGTCGCCTAGTGTTAGCGTAAAAAAATAACTCAGCCACCTTCTCTGAGTCTTATCGAAAAAACCAAAATACGATGAACAAGTGATTGTCCAAGAGAAGACGAGAGGAAAGTTTAAAGTCATTCTAACCAAAGCAGATTAAGTCAAAGTGGAATGTCAAGGACCCAAGTCATCAAAGAGCGATCAACTTAAATAGGTGGATGGAATAAGATAGGCGGGGGGCTGGAAATGGGTCTGGGTGCCCAAAGTCCAGGCTTAGTTCTGCTCACCCTCAGAAGAAATATAGGCTACTTTCTATAGACTGGGTGGTGGGACACCGTTTATATATTTTTTTCATACACCTAGTAAGTGCTAAAAGAGTTTATCTGTGCCACATTTTATTAATTCGGCCTAGAATGTTTTCTGAAACATGAGCTCTAACATTTTCATAGTTCAGTTACAGCTTTCTTCACCAATCAACTCTCACTATTATCTCTTCCCCTTCAACAAATACTTCCATTGGTGATTGTGTGGTATATTCTGCTCTACTTTCTGTTAGCAAATTCTCGTAGTGTTCTTTTTATTTTTCTGTTGGTATTAACTGAATAAAAGTAGTATTTCTTTCTGTGTTATTTATTTTGTTTAAAAGTTTCCATGTCTCTGAACACTCTTTTCCGCCTATGTAAGTGTTGATCTCTTGGCAATTTCTATCCCACATTTCTTTTTTTGCTATTACTGCTCTTCTTGTTGTTCTTTGTAAATCCAAATATTTGTCTTTGTCTACTTGATGTTTAGTACTTAGCCACCGTGCGTACGCTTTCTTTTTCTCCAGTATTAGGTTTTGTATGTCTTCGGTCCACCATAGCTTTTTACTGTGTCGTTGGGATTTTAAACCAAGTACTTCTTTTGCGGCTGTTTGCACACTGTCTATTATATTTTTATACACTTTTTCACGGATATATTTTCGGTTATGTCTAATAATTTTTCATTTAGTCTTCGTTGATATAGTGTTCTCGTACTTTCATTTTGTAAGCTGTCCAGGTTGTAATTTGTTGTGTTAACAATTTCTGTGTCTTCAGGTGGTTCTTTTGTTTTCTTGAATCTAAACGGAAAAATTAAAATTTTGAACATTTACAAACTGGAATGTTACACATTTTTCCCAATATCGTCATCATCGAATTCGTAGTTTCGATCCAAAGTCTCTTCTTCTTAGAGTGCCTGTCCGTACCGAACGTTGGCGATCATTCTGGCTATGATGACTTTGTTGGTTGCAATACGGAATAGCTGTGTTGAGGTCTTTCTATACCATGCTTTCAGGTTAGCAAGTCAGGATATTCTTCTTCTTCCTGTGACCCTTTTTCCTTCAATTTTACTTGGTAAAATGTATTGGAGTAGCTCGTATTTGCCTTGATTTCTCATTATATGTCCCAAGCACTCCAGCTTACGGCCCTTCACAATGTTAACCAAATCTGCGGTTGTGTTCATCCTCCGCAGTACTTCTTCATTGGTGATTTTGTCTGTCTATGCTATCTTTAGGATCCTTCTGTATAACTATAGCTTAAGGTTTTAATGAAGTTTTGATAAAGTTTTTGATCTCAATGTCCACGTTTCTACTCAATACAAAAGCACTGAGTACACATAACATTTAAGGAGACTTATTTTTATTTCTATGGTGAGGTCATGCCTCTTAAACACAGAGCTCATAGTCAAGAATGCACTTTTTGCCTTTCTTGTTGCCTGTCTATTGTCCCACGACTCATTAATTATAGTTCCCAAGGAGTTGTACTGTGAGACACGTTCAATTCTCATTTTTTGGTTCACATACAAATTTGCTTCAGTTATGTTTTTCTTGTTGATGATCATTAGCTACTACTTTCCGTTCTACTTCTTTCCGTTATTTTGTTCATTAAGTTTTTCAGGCCTTCTATGGTATTGGAAAACACTATTGTATCATCTGCATACCGCAGGTTATTGATTTTGACTCCATTTATTGAGATGCCTTTATCAATATCTTTTAGAGCCTCTTTAAAAATGTGCTCCGAGTACAGATTGAATATTAGTGGTGAAATTATGCATCCCTGTCTCACTCCCCTAAAGATTTTGACCTGATCTGTATATTCTCCATCTATTACGAGCATCACTGATTGATTTCAATACAGGTTAGCTATTATTTTTAAGTTTCTTCCATCAATCCTTGTCCTCTTCACACATAATTTTTTTATACCTGACTCTCTCGAAAGCCGTTTTATAGTCAATCAGGCATGCAAAAACATTATAGCTGACAACACATTACATCCAAAGTCTCATTGTCTATTAAATAAAAAAAAGAGATTTTTTTGTTACTATTTTGTCCATTTTTAACTTAAAATTTTAAATCCTTAAATCAATATTCATAATTCAAAGAGAAATAGCTGCATGTGTCCCATTGGTAGTGTTTTGGTATCCACATTTTACTTACTATACATATCACAACTACCACCAATGAGCTCTCGATGACAAACATATTTTGGGATTCCCACATTATCACATTTTTGAAGTAAGACAATTTCGCCACAGGAAACAATTCATTTTTATGAGATGCTGACCACCAGATAAAAATGGCTAAAGCTGATATACGTTTTAGTGTCAATTTTTAAAAAAGTTTTCATATGTACTAAGATCCTAAATAGACCACATATTTGTGGTTAAAATGGGATCCTGTTGATTAAAGTTTATATCATTAAATAAAGCCAATCTTTTCTAATAATAATTCCAAATAGCGTGAACCTTTTCATCCAACTACAATTAAAAGTTGTCAAAAATCTAAGTAAAGTTATTAAAACCCAATAAACTCTTAACAACTAAAGGAGAAAAGCAAATACCTCAAAATGGGTGTTATTGTACCTAGAATGGCCTGTCCAGTCTATCGTCTGATGTCCGATAAGGTTTAGATAATTATTAAAAAGAACCTTATTCTGAATCTTTCTCTTATTCTCTGAGCAATGAGTCTTTCAACGAGCGCTTTTCTAGCTGGGTCATTTTGTTCCATCCGTATTACATGCCCTATCCACCTTAGATGTAATATCTTAATATGTTTTACGATATCAGGTTTTACGATATCAGGTGGTAAATCCTGGTTAGCGCTAAATGTGCTAGCAAATATTGACAATAGGACAATCTTTGGATATCCTGATAGTAAGATACATACAGGCTGTGATCGGTCCTTCTCAGAACCAGCTGACTTGACCTGAAATTTTGGACCTTTAGTCCGAATTTGTCATATAAACATAGAAAGAATATGCTATTCTTAAAACTAATACCCATTAAAACATTTAAAAAGGACGACATCGAACTAGTCACTATACAGGAAACTTATTGTGAAACTGAGAAGTAACTTCAAAAACCAGGCTACGAAATATTTTCAGGTACCTACCATCGATCTTATGGAGTAGCAACATATTTTATGTTTAATAAAGTATGGAAAATGCTTCCTTCATATCTGCCTGCCTCCACTGACGACGAAATTCATAGTATCATCGAAACATTGAAAACATTACGGTTGCTACATTTACAAAGCACCAGCCACACTCTGGCCAATCCATGTCTTCACCACACACACCTCCATCCTGTAATATATGTAACAAGCAATGGAGGTAAAGAGTCTGCGACGCAAACGGAAATACATTAGTTAAATAAAAGGAGCACGAAAACCTTTCACTTGACAAAACAACATCCAGAGCGCTAAAAGAAAAAGCTCACACGATTTACATCAAATGAGATCTTAAATGACTTAAAGCTAGAACTACGGAAACAGAACACTCCAGTTCCTTCACATACTAAGATATTTCCAATGCTTTTAAGGATCTTAATTTAGGAAATGTTGCAGGTTTCGATGGTATCCACTCAGAGTGTTTAATGAATTTTGGTAAATATGTAATAAAGAAATAAGAATAACATACTCACAATAAATTTATTCTACAACCAATGACCGGTTTCGCATACTATAATTTGCTATGCATTTCAAGGTAGATGGCAAACTAAATGATGCCGATAAAAGGATTATTATTTAGTGTTTTAGAAAACTTGGTTCAAACTGCTGTGGTAAACTGATGACGGGTGATCATCGGTTTTATTGTAACTATTTAACAAATAAAAGAATAGTTCTTAAGGGGAGAGATATTAATAAATAAACTAGAAAGTAGGTATTGTGTAGAAT